ATTAACTAATCGATATTTATAGATTTTCTTTTCTAGGATGAACTTATGCATAAACTTGAAAGATATCATAGTTTTGAAAAAACTGATGTTAAATCAGGACAAGTATCTGGATGTGTTTATAAATTACCAAAATCAGATATGACTGCTGTCTATCATCAAGTATTACGTCTAATTATAATATTATAATTCCTATAAACTAAATATTTATCTATAGATTTTTAATTTATTTGGGGATTCAAATCCTCTTCATGTCGATGTTTTTCCTGATATTCGAACAATGGAAGCTGAAGTTGTTCGTTGTGTAGCAACAATGTTTCATGGTGATGAAAACGTTTGTGGAACGGTCTGCTATTTTAATTATTCTATAATCATAATCATATCTTCATTTTTTACGTTCTTTAGATGACATCCGGTGGTACAGAATCATTATTAATGGCATGTAAAACTTATCGTGATTTCGCTCTTTCAAAGGGCATTACTAAACCTGAAATGTAAGTACATCTATATCAAAATTACGGTTAAATATTTTTATATTTCCTCCTAACCATTTCGAGTATACCGACTATATGCATAGACATTTTGTCTTACTGATTAACATATATTATAGAATAGAAATATCCCTAATGACGATGATTAAGTTAATGTATACATCTGGTTTCATCCGTCAGATTCCCTATAATTGTAAACGTATTCATAATATTGAATGAAATCAACATTTTAGTATTTTCTTTTCAAAACATGCTCGTTGAATAATAAAAAATAATCACAAAAAGAAAAAACAAAAATGGAAATGATATTTGCCGATAGGATGAACTTCTACTTAAAATTAATTCATCTGGTTTTACATAAAAATCATTATTACATTGTTCACTGTTACAACGTCTTATCAGTATAATATCAATAGATGACAATGAACTAATTTTTGATTTAAGTAATAAATTTCCTTCAATTGACATATCATCATAAGGTGAACAATCACGTATTGCTCGTGTGATTTTATTTGATGGAAATTCGCGTTGATATATAGATGATGATAACGAACGATTATGTATAATAGCAAAATAACAATATGTTTGACATGTTCGCACTGGTATTTGTCGTGTAAATTCACCACAACCAGGTCCATCAATGAAATTGTCACATGTTAAACATTGTATATCAGACGCATTAATAAATAATGAATAATCAATGAATAGAAAAAAAAGAATAATAATAAACAGATTTATTGTAGAAAAATCCATTCCATGAATAATTCTAAAAATAAATAATTATTTAGATTTTTCAGCACAATTTATTCTCGCGTAGACATATATTGATTACTTACGCTAGTTTAATTTTTTTATATACACTTGTTATTAATAGAAGATATTCGATAAATTCTTAGATTTCTTGATGTTATTCGTTTCATACTCGATTGATTTTTCTAAAAGAGATAGATACAAAAAATTTGTTTATATAGATAATTATAAAACAACAAAACTTTTCTCGCAAGCATATATATATATATATCGTAGAAAGAAAGAAAGACAAATGCTTCTGTGCTTTCTAGGCTTCTGGTAATGATCGATCTAATTCTCAACGTTTTGTCATCAATCAAAGTCGAGTTATCTTTACCTCTTAATATGACTGGGAGATTATGAATAAGAAAAACAAAATAGAAGAAGAAGAAAAAAAAATAGTATTATGTCTAGAAGCGAATGGTTATATTGAAAAGAAAATATTTTATAACATTACACTATGTATAATCAATTAGGTTATATTTGATCTGAAGTGACGAATATATTATTAGTAAGAGTTGAATACACATATTGACCGTTTAACATAAATAAATAATAGAAAAAAAAGAGAGAGAGATCAACTATAAGCTATGATCCAATTACAAAAGATATAATAAGTGTAAATGCAATTGAATATAATAATAATGAAAAGAAGAAAATGTATTAAAAGAGAAGAGTTATTTAGCCGTATTTATCAACAATAGAATTGTATTGTTATTATTACTCTTTCTTTCTCTCCTTCTTTCATCGTATGGACATCGAGATTGACCTCAATAAAAGAAGAAGAAGAAGAATAGTAAAGTTTTTTTCTTCTACCTTAAGGGGTTCAACTCAATACGGAAGTATATAATCTATGACATTTCCCTTTTACTTAACTTATATTGTCTAGTCTGATTTAGTTTTTCGTTTATTTTATATTAGATGAACATTTATGCTAATCAAAATTGAAAGAAAAAAGTAACTGACAAGGAAATTGAGTTTCTACGACATATGTATATATCCTTAGGGAGAGAGAAAAAAAAGAAATGACCAGTAAATAGAGTTAATAGCTCAAATCAGCTGAAAAGAATGGCGATATAATGATGAGAGTGATACCAAATGTTATATAGTTAAAATATGATAACGAAATCACGTAGATGTACTTGACTTTCAAATGATGTACATATTGATTCGATCACTCGCATACATGCGCATAAAAAAAAGATACTAATGAATTCACTTTTTTTCCTTTGTTCTTTCATCATCGTAATAGTGTTATTTTAGCTCGACATTTTCTCTATTTAAATAAATCTTTGACTCACGTTTTCTACTCATGATTGATGATGTTTAGTTGCTGTCAACAAAACTAAATATCAATTTATTGTGGCATTATCGTTAACAGTTGTGGAATCATTCGAAATATAACCTTAAAACGAGGCCAATGATGTTGTGATTCTATTCTTTCTTTTTTTCAACTTCTAGAACAAAGTATGTCTAGCGTATGAAGAGTAAAACGGATGACATGACTAGCCGACGGAAAAAGGAATGGTCACTTCACTTTTTCTCGATGAAACAATACTATTGTTGTGTTGTTAAAAGATATCAAACGATTAACCGATGATAATATATACGTACTAAGTAATTTTTGGCTTAGATCTTATATAGCTGTAATATTAAGAGCATTAGAGAAAAAGTGAACGATTGCAGAAGAGAAGACCGGCATGTCGATTTTAACAGATGCATATTTATCTACGAGTGTTTCCGAGTACTTTTCTCGATTAGTACTTGAGAGTAAACGAAGAAATCTTGAATTATGTTCTATATAAAGAGTCTTCTTCATACTTGAAAGAAAAATAAATAAAAATTCTACCTCGAGACTATACCTGTCGAGACCATCATCTAATGAAAAAAAAAAAAGAAAAAAAGAAATTTTTTTTCCTCATTTCTCGCGTGTTTCTCGATTCAATTACGGATAGTCATTGCTAGTGTTCTTTTGCTTGCACTCTCTATCTTTGTCGAAGAGAAATGTTTGTGTGACAAACACGCGCCAATATCTTGCTTACGCCTTTATAAGATCGATTAAATGCAACAGAACACGCACTATAGGCATGAAATCTCTCCGGAACTTGCTCTATCTCGTTCATCGAACTAATGTAGTTGATTCAAGCCGAATTAAAAAAAAGCAAGAGAGAGAAGAAGAAGAAGAAGAAGAAGAAAAGAACGTTGTCTGTATCTTTCTATTTTTTTGTCATTAATCGCATTCGAACGACATTGTCTATATGTATGCGAGCAAGATTTCTTGCCTTGACAAGAAGCAGTCACGCGGTCCATGGTAACTAACGAGACTGCAATTAAATGTGCATGCTCTAATTTCCGTTGATAGAGCTCATGCATGTGCACGTATCTGTTCTTCATATAGAATACACAAAAAAGAAATGACTTTGAATTAGATCGTGCATCCGCAAAACAGAACATATCATTTTTTTTATCCTGTATTAAAATGAAGAGAGAGAAAAAAAATGTCATAATCACTTTTCAATAGTGTCTACATGAATACAAAATAGAGAAAGAAATCAATATAATAAGCAGTAGACACTGACACTTTCATTGTTTCTTTTATATATACGTATATTATTATTCTTGCACTAAACAATTTTATTCGTCACCTTCTCTATTGATGTGTATTACCTTGTTTTATATATCAAGCTAATGCCATTGTATACTATAAATCCCTATTGTATCTCTATCTATTTTTATTAGTAACATGTGTTTGACGAGGTAGTCATTTTCTGTCATATTAGATTACGATCAACATTTGCTTCTTTTGCATTTTTTGTTGAAGAAGAAGAAAACACAGTATTCTTATACATCTGACTAACACCTGTGTAATGATACTGTTAGAGATAGATATCCATTACTAATATGATAGATCATACTTCTTATCTTATCTTTATCTCTACTATTTAAATATGCAAATAAACACATATATGTATATATAATCTGCATGATTGCTTGCAGTAATTTACAAGTTATGTCGACTAGTATTTGCACTATTTGATGATATATAAAATAAGAAAAATTGTCTTTGTAATAACAAATTAAGTTAATTTCTGATTATATATTCTTTTCTACTTACTTACTTTCTTTTTGTTAATGTAATCAATGAACTAGACCTTTTTACTGCGAACGGCTGAGTACTCAAGTGTACTATGTAGTAAGGCACCAATAAAGTAACTCTTTCTTTTCTCTCGTTCTTTAGAATGCATAGTCACTATTTTTTATTGAAACTCTTACTTTTGATATATATATATTTTAGTGAAGAGGAGAGAGTGCATATAAGAATAAAGAATCACGCGTATGTCAATCAATCAGATTCATGCGTGTATTCGAACTATAAACGTATGAAATATAAATGGCTATTGGGCTTTGTCAACATTAGATCTATATATGTATGTGTCATTTATTTGTGTCTGTCGGTCACTCTATGAACGATTGAAAAAAGCATGACGACTTAAATTCTTCTATGCGAGAAAAAGAATCCATAGAATGCTGAGTAAATAGTGAGTGTTATAAGTACGATGATGATGATGATCACAATGAATAACGACGAGCTACTGATTAACTTAATAAATATGGAACAAAAAGAAGACATTCCAAAGAGACCGAGCTCAATAAGAAACCATAATCAATGCAAATGGATTCATCATCAATACAATAGGATTAAAAAAGAAGAAGAAGAAGAAGAAAAAGAAAAACGATAGAACGCAAGAGAGAATGTCTTTTATATTAGATAATTGATCCATTGTAAGATTACTTTAGGCTTTTCGAATTGACACATCTTTTCTGAATGAATAAACTAATTTAGTATGAAAAGAAAAAATGTCTTCGTTAGTTTAAAAGGTTAATAACATGAATTTTCTATGCTCTAATGATAAATGTTCATTGTATCATAATAAAATATTATTTTAATTAGTTATATGATATCAATATTTTAGTATCATGCCAACAACAGCACATCCAGCATTTAATAAAGTATATTAAATTCAATGGAAAATTTCTTGATAAAAAAAACTAATTATTCTAGGCTTGTTCTTATTTTAAAATAAAATTAAGACGTATTCCATTAAATCCTCAAACACGTGAAGTTAATCTAGATAAAATGCGTCAAGCCATAACTAAAAATACTTGTATGGTAAGTAATTCAATTAATAGGATTAATTTTTCCAAAAAAAAAACAAAGTAAAATTGTTTTTAGATTGTCGCATCAGCACCGAATTTTCCACATGGTGTTATTGATCCTATTGGAGATATTTCTAAAGTACTTTTGTATATAGAATATTTTATTAAATAATTCATTTATCATATAGATTGCTGTGGAATATGACATTCCATTACATGTTGATGCTTGTTTAGGTGGTTTTCTTATTCCATTTATGGATCAAGCTGGTTTTCCATTAGAACCATTCGATTTTCGTCTACCAGGTGTAATGAGTATGAGTTGTGATACACATAAAGTATATTCTATTTGATTTAATAAGAAAAAACAAGAAAAGAAATTATTTTTTAGTATGGATTTGCACCTAAAGGTACATCGGTAATTCTTTATCGAAATGAACAACTTCGTGAATATCAATTTTATGCATTGGCTGATTGGCCTGGTGGTCTTTATGGTTCGCCATCGATAGCTGGTAGTCGTTCTGGTTATTTAATTGCTTGTTGTTGGGCTACACTTATGTATTATGGTCGTGAAGGTTATATTGAAGCAACACGAAAAATTATTCAAACAGCACGAGATATTGCTAAAGGATGGAGTGAAATTAATGGTCTTTATCTTTTACATCAACCTGATGTAAGTGTAGTAGCAATAAGTTCGGATAAATTTAATATTTATTATTTATTCGATGGTTTACATGCAAAAGGATGGCATTTAATTGGTTTACAAAATCCATCAGGGTATTTCATACAAATAAAAAAGAAATTTATTGAATTTTTATTTTTCTCTTTAAATGTACAGTATGCATATTGCTGTTACTCAAATTCATACACAACCTGGTGTTGTTGATAAACTTCTTGAAGATACACGACAATGTGTAAGAGAAATTGTTACAAGTGATGTTAAAAAAGATACAGCAACAGTAAGTAAATCCTAAATAAATTGATATTATTTAATGAGCTATTTCTAGGCTGTTCTATATGGTACAAATCAAAAAGTACCAGATAAATCTCTCGTTTGTGATATAGTTAAATTATACATAAGTTCATGGTATAAAACAAATTTAGATGTACCAAAAGATGATGAAATAACAAATTGAAGAACAAATATTTTTTATATATGTCCGTACTACGCTCATCGATAAATATTGATTTGTACGTTTTTATCTTTTATCATTTTTATTGTTTTACTAATATCATATTTTTTTACATAGTTCTCTGGATGAAAATCTTGAGAATAAAGTGCTTGTTTCATTTTTCTATTATTTAAGCAAACAGTGTCGAAAGTTTTATTTGCATGATTTACAGTGATTTATCTACCAGATGAGTCACTCATCTGAAAAAATATACCATTGATTTCAAGGAAATATACTTTCTAACTTGTCCTTCTCTTGAATTGTTGTTATTGTATGTAGTCGAAAGTAATTATATTGATCATTGTCTTCTTCATGATACTTTTGTCTATACTTTTTCAGTGGAAACCAACGGAACTGACTAAATAGACAATTGTTCTATAATGAAATGTAATAATATATTGAATAGAACAAAAATGATTTATTTGATAGATTAAAGAAAAAAGACAATGAGTGAGAATCGAATAATACAGCTGATATACAAGTACTAAACTATCATGTTGCATTCAGTTGAATATAATAATAATAACATGTACAGATTAAAAATTGTATTTAAAGACCAGTGATATAGAAGATTTAATCATTAATTATTAGAAAAGTAAAATATCTCAGTTTAGTTTTCGATTTATTGTTAATAGAAGAAATATAATTATGTTATGAAAAAGAAATCAATAAAAGTTATGGCGGCGCGCCAGCAATTGCGGCCCCTAAAAAACTGAAACTGCGTCACCTTTGCTCGTCATTTCATATGAAAGTTGATAAATACATATGTTTAATAATTTCTTTTCGAAAAGAGAATTATGAAACAAATAGTTTACGTAGGATTATCTTTTACCAATATAAACAAATTCAACGGAAACTTATCGACAACACATCATTCATCAACATCTACAACAACAATACGTTCCCATTTTTATGATTATGATTCTAGAAAAGTTTTACCAAAAACTATCATCTCATAACAGTTGACGATGATGAATGACAGTTTTAATAGATCAAACAATACAGAGAATGATTTTCTACGTTCAATTGTGACAGATGATCTAATATGTGATAGTATTTATGATAGACTCTCATTCAATATACAGAACTATTTGAAGATGTAAACATAAAAGAATTTTCGACTACAACTGTAAGTTAAATATATTTATTAAAGAACGATACAAATAAACTATGTTAGAATCAAACGACTGATACGCATCTGCGCATTGCCATGTCCTTGTGGTAGTCCTGCATGAAACTGAATTTGATCAATATCGAGCCATTCAAGAATAATTTCTGTTGAATTGTTTGTTAGAAAAATAGTTTTTGTATATAACTCATTCTTCTCTTTCAGTCCTTTGATTATAATTTGTGACAGTAAATTCATCGTATTAGCATAAAGTGAATGAATATTAAGTGTTCCGTTTGAGCTTGAAATTGCCGAAAATGCCGGTAGAGTAGGAACACATGAAGTCACATATTCTTGGCCGTGTGTAAACGAATTGGTTTGAAGGCAACCATTTCGATTTGGTCCATTGCCATTACGCATACTTTGATCTTGTCCAGCTGCATAGGAAATATGTAGATACTCGAAATTCATCCAAATTAAATTGGCATAATTATAGTGAATGCGTCCATTTTTTCGTCCGCCATCAGTGACAAGATCGTCAAACTGAATTATTCGTCGATTGCTCAAATCTAAAATTGAAAGAGAAATGTTTACATTAAAGTATAGAAAAACGAAGAAGAACGTTATTTTTCGATTCTATTCAATTTAGATTACTAATGACTCGTTCGCTTTAGTTTTAATCTTCATTACTTACTCTCTAATGTTGTTTTTTGTATTCTATCATTTTCTTCAAGTACTTGAATTTTGATTTGTAGTTGAACTAAACAGTTTTGTAAACATTCCACCTCATTATGACCATTAATTCGTCTGTATTTCACTTGACATACATGACAATGGAGTTCAATCTGTTCACATGATTTCTCATGTATATTTCGTTCTTTCTTCAACATTGATTTAGAACAACCAGTACATTGTTCCATATGAAAACCACATTCATGTTCATGTTGCTCAAGAGATTCATAAGATAAAACATCTTTGCAACCAGTATGATGATTTTTGCAAATGACTTGTAACTTTGAAAGTAATTGAACTAGAAGGAGTGGTGGACGTTGACGTTGTTTATAGTCACAATTATTTGGACAATTATTTGGATGTTTTTCTAACCATAATGTTATACAATCATTGCAAAAGGAATTTTCACATATTTCACAAGTTAAAGGTTTCCAAAAAATATCGTGACAAATGAGACAAGTTGTTAAATCTATTGAACTTTCATTAGAATTGACGATACGATCCACTTCTATACCCATTTTACGATACTTAATAATCTAATGAATAAATAAGAAAAAAAGATGAAATTTTACTTTTTATCTCGTCCTCAAGAAGGAAGAAAAGAGTGTATACAACATTGAATAAAGAGACAAACTAGAAGAGAAAAAAATAGTTTATCTTCTCTTATCAACAGTGGACGGAATTTGTTTTTGTCTGTTCTACGTTAGTATAGTTATATAAATTGACGAAAACACACTTCTCTTTCTTGAAAAATATACAGTGGGCTGTAATGAATGCAAAAAACTTTTTTCCTATTCTTATCTTGGTGAATGTTCAAAATTCTTATCCAACACTAATGAAAACTTTCTATTTATTTATTTATCTTAAGAATTGTGAGATGTTAGTTTATTCCATAATCGAACACTAATCCATATAGAAAGAATGATGCCACATTTAATCCTTGATTATTAGAAAAGTAAAAAACTTCAGTTTAGTTCTGGATTTATTGTTAATAGAAAAAATATACTTGTGTTATGAAAAAGAAATTAATAAAAATCTGTCTATACATTTATTATATGTCAAAACATTTTTATCAGGTAGCTTCTTCAAAAATTCATAATAAGTATTTGTCTGTTTACAATAAAGAAGGTATCTTAGTAGTGCATAACTCTGCATTAATCCTATAACAATCATTACTAAACTCATGAACAGATAGATGATCGAAATCTATTTTATACATTATATATAAAGTTCTATTAGGATAAAGAGCAGAAGTACAGTTTTCGCTGTTTAATCACTACGTCTAAGCACGTCATATACAGAAATTGTGCATGACCTTCATGTATCATTGTTTTTCTATGTAAACGATGATTTCCGAGCGTGTATGTCTAAGTTCGAATCTTTTCAGCTTATTGAAGATGAATCATAAAGTGATATCAGGTTTACAATATTATTCAGCAAAGACATTAAAAAATATATATACAAAAAAAAATGAAGTAGTATTAATTGTTTATGAACGAAGTTGTTTAGCAGGTGTTCGTAGAATATATTCGAAGAGAGATGGTGGTGAAGGTACTTTAGAATATTCCTGAAGATAACGATATAAATCACCCACAGTAGCTCGTTGATTTATTAAATGATCAAAAACGACAGAGAATGATTCGATTAAATATTTATCACCATAAGCTGCATAAATCAATGGACGTACAGTTTGTGATGCTGCTATTAATTGAATAATTGCTAGAAATATACATATATATAGAAAATAAAAACCTTCAATAAAATATGACAAATTTCAACCTTTTAATTGTTTATCACCATTGAATGCACCACAACCCCAATTTCCTGTCGCAACAGGATATGCACAATCGGGTGTTTGTCTTGACGTATAAAAGCCAGTATAAGCTTTAATTAATTCTCGATTAATATTCTTCATATGATATTGTGTTGTTTGATCACGAAAATAAAGTGCATCAATAGCAACTAAATGACACCATTTACGACCCCAATTATCTCTACAAATATATATATTTTATTCACAATATAAAAATAAAATTATTCATTTTAATTTATTTCTTACTTAGGTTTATTATCCACATAATCTCCAGCATATTGAAATGTTGCTGAATAACCTTTATATGATGAATATCGTTCACAACCAATCAAATGAATACATTCATTTGGTTCCATAGCTTCACAAACAAGTAAACTAACAAGCATCTCAGGACAAATTGAAAATCGTATTTCTTCTTGTACACAACCTGCAGTTAATACACCACCACCCTATTCAATCAATATACATATTTTTATTCAATAGATTTTATTAATTTTTAATGCTTACGATATATTTATTAGCAAAATCCACCTAGAAAAAAAACAAATAGAATTTTATAGGAAAAAAAACAAATCTCTGCTTATTTACTTGTAAAACACAGTTGATATCTTCTATTCGTTTTCCTGTTGTTAAATGCATAGGAGCAATACCTTTCTCAGATTGAGCCCATTTTGGTGAATCTTGATGATGCAATGAATAACGCTGAAAAGTAATGACACCATTAGGCACTAGATAAAAGAAGTGTTGAATTTTTTATAAAAATAAATTTCCCCTCTACTTTTCGCAGTAATACGTTCGAAATAATGCAAGATACATCTAAGCTTTTCGATTTTTTCTGGAGGTCCACGTTGATATAATCTATTAAATTTACATATTATGGTATTGCATAAAAAAAGAACAATAATTCAGATAAATATATATATTTACGTATTAAAATTTGGATTTTGAAAATGATCATATTCTTTTTTGGCTTTACCATCCGAACGAAATGGAAATAAACAAAAAAATGAAGCAGCTAATAGTGAAGCAGCTTGTTGCTGTGACATTGTCAAAGATCGATTTGATCCACTGCGTAATAAAGGTGGCGGCTAATTAAAATATAAAAAAATGTAAGATTTACAATGAAAAAGATCAAATATCAATTTACTTGACTACATAATATATCCATATTTAATGCTAATGTACATATATTTGCTAGAACAGCAGACATGAAATATGAACGTTGTTCAGCAGAGAAACTCTTTAAAATAATTATGTTAGTAAATATTTCTTTTTATAAATAACAATTTTTGAAACTCACTTCAGTAATAA